AATTCTGTCTGCAGCGTTTGTTGTTCATATATCTGTGAGTGCAATCACGTATTCTAGGCAGAGTCCATATTTTCAAATTATTCTGACGCAAAGACGTATATAAGTATGTCTAACACTACACTGGAGAGAAACATTCGAAATACAATAAAAATATGTGAAATGTTGCGAGAAGTTATTCATTCACTTTTTATTTTTTCATGTGAAAGGTAAAAACAAATCAACCTTATTATTGAGATGATAACACAGTTACAAAAAGAATATAAAATGATTTAAGAATACAACTTTTGCAAGTTAATGTCGTAAATATTTTTCATGCTACATATTTTTCTTCAATTTGACTCGCTATTTACCAGCAAAATCCACCTAAACACGCTCAAGGTTAAAAGATATCGCTAAATATAGAACAAAATTAAAATCTCAACATAAAACTCACCATCCGTAAGGCTTTGGTACGTATCCAGTGTATCCGTTCCTTCTGCTGTAGTCGTACCTCACCCCTGCATAGCTGTTGTAGCCGTAGCTGTGATATCCGCTGTTGGTGCCATAGTCGTCTGGTTTATAACCATATCCATATCTGTCTGGTTGATAGCCGTAGTAAGTCCTTAATCAAAATATAAAAGCCGACTTTTCGTTTTTATTTAAGCATCGTCAAGGACTGGAATATGAAGCAGGAAAAACTCACTTTTCAAATTGCTTCTACTGCTTTTGATCTTGCTTAAAACTGAATCATAAAAACAGAGCTTATTGTTTTCAATATAAAAGTCAACAATACGGCTTAGGGCCAACACCAGAACGACTCTTTTATGACGAAGTGGAATACAGATACCTGTAAACTCAAAAACTGCAACAAACTATTTAAAATACTGTCTTCACCAAGTCCCATAGTATTTGAAAAATAGAAACTGTGGATCAGAAAAAGAAAATTCCCAGAACATCAAAATGCATACTCGTCCAGTTTGTTACTAACTCTAGAAGCACTAGAAAATAAGTTGTATTGGTCTGTTGCAGAATCCACAACAGGTATATGCCCAATAATAATATCTCTCTCTTTCTCTCTCTTTCCCTCATCCTTTGCCATAAACATTCCATATACCGGAGCAAAAGATTATAGATTTGGACTGGATTTACACTGCTTAAAAATCTGTATTCTGAGAATTTACGTAAGGTAGTGACGTCATCATTGAGATGACTCTGATAAGAGTTTTTTTAATAGTAGACAGTAGAATGGTCTTAATCATTTGAATGCGACATGTATACATGAAAAAATATGATTCTTTGCATTACTTTCCTTTCTATTTAAATGTTCTTGGCGATTTGCATTAATGCAGTATGCAAGGTTTTTATACGTAATCTCTCTCATTCTCGCTCCCTCACCTTTCACCAGTACTATCCCACCTCTTGAAGGCGACTACGGTCAGGAAAGCAGCGAGTAGACTCAGACTAGTTGAAGGCTACATGTAGTATAAATGGCCCCATTCAGAATGGGGGACTTACTAGTCCGAGGGCCAAATATGGCGACCCACTACAAAGCTTGCCGTCTAATCCGCAAATAGATCCACTGAATAGATATCCCGTGGGGAAGTATTCAAGTCGGTCGGCCATATTTGATCCTCGGGTTAGTTAATCCACTATTCTTTATGGGGCCAATGACTTTAAACAGTATTTAATCCTTTCTCTCTCTCTCTCTCTCTCTCTCTCTCTCTCTCACCTTTGATCATGACTTTCCCAAATTATGGCGGCGGCCACGGTCAATAGAGCAGCGAGTAGAATCAACTTTATCATCTTGACGGGGAAAGAGGTGTCGTCTGCGAACTTGAACTGATAGAGGCTGACTTCGATCTTCACTGACGTCTAAGTACCTTATGTTACGGTAGCTATTTTATAACGTTCCAAAACACAAAATGAATACGTAATGATTACATTTTTTGGCACCGAATATTTGCCTTGAGGTAGGGATGGTTTATTCTAAACAGGATACACGTGAAATGAATTATCACTTACTTTGTTTTCCATTGCCAAATTTCGTTGGACTGTCCAAAATAATCCCATTGATATGTTAATGTTTGTGCGTTTTAAGTTGAGTAAATGTAAAATTAATAAAAAATATATAAGATATTATCTTATTAATGAGCCTTAGGACAGTACCGGAGGGTTACGATACTACACCTTTCCAGTTTGGTTTTATAAGAAGTGTCTTTAGTATGTAGAAAAGACTAGTAGATAAGATATCACTGCTAAATAATGGATATAAAAGTTGCTGCCATAATACACTTATAAGCCACAAGGCATACTGGTTCGTGAGTCTGACTAACAAAAACAAATAGTGTTAGAGACCATTCCCAGACCCTATAGAACTAACTTTGGATCGAACTATCTCCAAGGGAATTCTCGCTTAATTGCAATTAACTTAAGCGGCTTGGATGTCTGTCATACCCACTGAAGCTGCTAGGGGGTAATTAACTATCGTTTAGCTGCTTTAGTAGGCGTCCCAGACATCAAAGCTGAAAGCAATTTAGCCAGAAACCCCGTGGAGATGGACCGATCCTGTAAGATCGATTTAGGGATGGGAACCCAGTCTTAGTGCGTGCCCCTTCCGAATCTCTCTCTGTCTCTCTCTCTCTCACACACACATATGCACACACACTATCACTCGTTGACTTAAAATGCATGTCAAACTGTTTTCGATTAATTTAGTTTTAATTGTGTGGTCTAAATAATGTTATGTGTAAGTTAAAACTAGTAGTGGCTTGTTGCGGGACTGGGAATGAGGAAATCATTCTTCAATATTTGATAATTCTACCTCTAATGATGCTCTTAGTTATTGATCAATTAATTATTAATCAATTGCGTGACTTAAGTGTTACGTCTGATCATTAGAACAAAAGCAACACATAAACATTTATATATTTGCTGTACTGTCCGAAGAAAATGACATCCGTACATGTTTAATGATATTATGAAGCTTCGTTATACTTAGGAGAATTTCTAATGAATCACAGTGACATTTAATGGAGACAAGATCATCGACCTTTCCCCATAATAAGACAACAGACGACATTAAACAGATATAAAATATATACTTACAGCGACCATAAACATTAAGATTCTATACATTAAAGATGACCACTGGCGGACGCTCAATGCACGTGTGGTCAGCGGGAGCGCTGGCGTTGATGGTGTAATAATAAGTGTGGCCACGGGCCGTAGAAATAAACTGAAGGTTCATTCGCCCGAGTCCTAACTAATGCTCGAATAATGTTTATAGTTCACTGGTAATAAAGTAAAGTTCATCAGAGGCGCATGGTGTATACGATATATCACACCATCGTGAAGTCGGTCGTGCCTTTGATAGTTTATTGAATTGAAGTAAAAAAATGTTCACCTACATTGTACCTTTTTGTGAGATGTTGGACGTTGAATTGCTATCATATAAGCAAGTAACCCCTCTCTTTCTCTCTCTCTCTCACACTCTCACTCTCTCTCTTTCCCTGTCCCAGACACACAAAAACACACTCTCTCTCTCTCTCTCACACACGCACACACACAATCACTCTCTCTCTCTCCATTTCTCTCTTTCTCCCTCTCTCTCTCTCGAACACACACACACACACACACACACACACACAGTGTCTCAATTTTCTTCTTTCTTTCCTTCTCGGATCCATCAGACCCACAATCCAGCATGCCTTCAAGCAGACAAGAACATAAAACTGCCGCCAACCATGTTATACAATACCATTAAAATTCTTCTCTGTATGTTCTAATTATTAACTTATCATCCGTACCTAGTACTAAAAATATCTTAAAGCAAAATAGTCGGCTCCAATCATTACGTTATCATTACGTATTCGTTTCAGAGCAGTATAAAAAAGGCTACCTTGGTTCCCTTTGAATAGACGTCGGTTTTGTCAAGATCCAAGTTAGTAGTAAGCAGACGACACCTCTTGTCCCGCCAAGATGAAGTTGATTGTACTTGCTGTTTTCATGGCCGTGACAGTTCACGGCTAAGGGCCGTGGGGCAGGAATAGTAAAAGGTGTGTTTGTGTGCCCGCGCGTGTGTGTGATTCAGATTCTTTCTCCGGGGCTGGTAAGGAGGTCTATTGGTTTCAGATTCTTTCTCTGGGGTGTACATGAATAAAGTAAATCTTTTTGACAATTTTTCTGAGGAACATACGATGCCTAGTGTCAGGCATAAATTAATGTAAAGACAGTAAAAATTAAATTTTGAATTTAAATTAAGACAGTCGTGGATTTTTGTTCTATACACATATATGTTGTAAAAAAATGAATAAAGTTTTGAATTAATTAATATTTTTTTTATTTATCTATTTATTTATCTATTTTGGACAATTGGTATGTGAAATGCACATCCATATTGGATTTCGGTGTTGACGAACTCACGGTGTTGATTAGAATTACAAAAAGGCAGAATGCGTCGAGATATACACCTAAGCCAATTGACAGTTCATAAGCCTTTGATAATTGGTCAATCTCGTAAAAAATCCGCTTAACAGAAAATATTGAGTTGTTGTTGGGACACGTGGGTGTCAGCACAGTTTTCCCGGTGTAAGATAGACCCCGTTCCCATGATAACCATCGGTGTACGTAAATAGTACATCTGCTGAGACTCTTGCTGGGTGTAATTAGCTTAAAATGACACCGAATGATAAATGTGAATGTTGTTGAGAAACGATTTTTACTCAGTTAAAGATATGTACCTGAACACATTGTACATTTTTCATCATGATTATAAATCAACTGTAGCCTTTCTCCATATAAGACCCAAAATCCCAATGTGTTTATACTATTATCAGTGTTTAAATATTTGAAATTATGGTGAACTAAGTCACGAAAAATAATTATAATTTAATTTGTCAATGTTTGCAAATAATTTTATTTATATACATATTGCTTCTATTACTCTGAAGCTATTCCCACACTAAAATTTAAAATATGTATCATACTATAAACAAGGCAGCAAAGATGAAAAATGTACAGACAAAAAATAGAAAATAAAGATGTACAAAATAGGTCATTTTGTTAATTTTGATGCAATAATAAATAATGCTTATATTGGTACACTCAATCAACAATGACTTTTTTCCATGCAAAACAGGTAACATGACCTGCAAAGGTCTTCAATCCAATGTAAGCTCAAAGTCACACCTTGATAATATGTCGTTGAGCGAAAAATTAATTTTCCGCAAAAAAAACTGTATAACTGTAAAATTTACTAATGAGACAGATTATCCACCTAAAGCTTATTTCAGTCCTATATTTATTTCCTGCAAGTGTGAAAGAGAATATGTGAAATGATTCCCCTTGATAGATGCAGAGCTCATCTGAAATTTATTCTTTAAAAAACATAGACTGACACGAAGAGAACAATAGAAAAATAAAAAAAGTGATCAACTTAACACTAATTAAACTACTGCATGGGTGCAAAAACCTAATAAGGCAACATTTATTACCAAAGGCAACATACTTTTTATTATATTTATACTTTATGCATGCACAATGTACACATTTACACATTTTTAAGTGAATATGTTCCATTCATTAAGCAGTTCAAGAGCTCGGGGAATGCATCACCGTTATAGAGAACATTTTTTGATAAGTACATCTTCATAAAATGTAAATATTTCCTTTTAACGAGATAGATGGATAGATAGATCATTTCTTTTAACAATAGCGGGGAATACAAATGATTACACTGAAAAATTTAATACGCCATCAACTTAGCAAAACAAAACTTAAATTAGCTTTTCATGTTATAATAGTGTTTTCAATATGCCTAGTCAAAATGGAAATAATATAAAATTTTTAAAAAAATTAATTGTTCACTAGATATACTCCTTGGCACACATCGTGCGTGGGCTTGTGGTTCAAAAGATATTACATCGCGCTAAAATCTAAAATGTAACGCTGACTACACCTGGTGCATTCAGCTTGTCATGGTGCATACACACAAAAAGTTTCGCTGCTAAAATTCACTACAGTGCTGACTGCATGTCTCATTGTCTTTATTTTAACCGCCGTCTTTTACCTGGTCACATGAAAACTTTTCACATGCCAAATTTCCTTTTCAAAATGGCCAACAGCATCTCCTCTGAAATTAAAAATGTAAAGGAAACTATTATTTATCAAATGGTTATTTTTATTATTTGCACTCCAGCATTTCTTCTGCAATCAGATATTAGAAATCGTTAGTTACGTCTAACCATTGAGGTACACGTACTGGGATTTCACAAAACATGCACAGCATTACTAAGAAAAGTGAAAGAAAAAATGTTTTGACAATAATTCAAGAAGAGCGCTACGTACTCATCAAATGGCAGTACCATTTCTTTGAAATAATATCAGAAAATTTACTTGCTTGAAATCATCCTAATTTTAGGTTGAAAATTATCTGAATATGACTTAGACAAATGAATTCACATTTCCATATATACAGTTCTAACAAAATTCAATCAAAAATCTAATTTGACAATTCAATAGCATACATGTTCTCATTATTTTTATTTACTTATCCTATAACAAGAAGGTGTGAAAGTTAGAAATAACGACAAATTCCAATAAATGTGATTAGAAATGACAAAAACAGCAACACCCCCACTGACGAGACATAAAAAAATTAAACAGAAAATGTGAAATGTTTATTATACCTATTTATATTATCCAAATCGAGAAAGTTAAAGGATATTTAATGGTCACATTTTTTTTAATAAACATGTTACTGACATACGATGTAGAGTATAAACACATACATGTATATCCCAGTTCGCCCCCAACTCAATACACAGACTTCAACAAAACCAGACCAGTAGCCAGGAGAGGGGGTCGAAAGGAGCCGGAAGAACCACCCTTTCGGTTGGAAAGCCCACCCTGAATGATATTTTGATCATATCTGTATACCTCTTCTGAATATGGGTTAATTGAGGGGGTTAAACTGTTCAATTTTTTAGAAAAAAAAGACCCCAACTGCAGGACTATGGGCCTAAACACAGCACCTTTATCCCCCCACTCCACCCCTCAATTACCTGATTTGGCGACCAGCTTGACGAGTTTTTTGTTGAAAATCCACACATGTCTTGCCACCTCCACTCGGACCCTGTCCCCTTTCAGAACGGCCTTCACTATCCCTGTGTGTCCTAGAGACTGGAAATAAAACAGTATCAGGTTAATAGCTCCCTGCATGATCAACAGCCTTCAGTATGCCCAGCCGTGATATGCAAACAGGAAATTCACGCTCAGACTCGGCTAAAATGGTACGATGGAATGATATCAGTCCACTCAAATGAAGTTATTCTTCAACTCCCATGACGATTCCCTGTTTGTGAATAATAGAGAAATAATCAACCAGTCGGGCGTTTAATAATAGGTTTATTTATGAAATATTAAAGATTGGATCTTTTCATGCAAAAACCACAAAAAGGTCGCTGTGCCATATACATGTATATGCTACAAAAAGTCGAGCAGACGATAGGCACGATTATGATGATGGTGATGATGAAAGGTTTTGCAAATTATGTTAGCCAATGGCAATATATGAATTGATATGGGTTTGTGAATAATAGAAGGGAACAGAGTGATTAGAGCATAAGGCTGAGACATATAAAAACACTATTTTAAGTTATAGTTGCACTGATAATGCGTCGCACTAACCATTCTACATGTAGCTACCGCTTGGTTAACATTTATATTATGATCCCAAGATGGAAGCAGAATCAATTTATGCCAAAGAAGATAATTGCTGAACGCCATTTGCCATTGCTCTGATACATGTAATAACTTTCAATTGAACATGCACGTTGACTTGTTAGAAAACCCGGTCCGTTAATACATGTGTTTACAAAACAAGACATACTGACATAAATCAATTGCTTACAACCTATCGTTGTTTCAGCATCTCTGTATAGCAAGGAGAAAAACAATAGGAACACACATAGGGCATATTATACTGGTAGTATATGTGCAAACTTGATTGGCTACATTTTTTTAATATTAATTGTAAGAATCGGATAACCCGATTACTTGTTTATTTCGATTAATGTACACTTAAGCGGCCCATTTGTGTGATCTTTTATGTGACGAGGTAGGATTGCAGGGAAAATTGATTGACACTTCAGCAGCGTGGCTGTTTTTGCAGTTAGCATTCTGTAGAAATTGGCATTTTTGTGACACTCTTCTGTACGTTTGTGACAGTTCAGACACCACATAGTATGTCAACGTCAAGTTACTCATAGATGTTCAGTGATTTGGTAGAGGAAATTCAGCTTTCCAGGATAAAAAGAAATAATTGACATCCACGAAAGCCAGCAATGTGAGTTTTATGATTGTTCTGTTCTATAAGTTAAAACCTTTCTTAATGCGGTTAAAATTGTTTGTAAGACTTTGTTTTAAGAAGACTTATTTGTGTTCTTTTTTGTTTGTTTTCGTTTTAGTCAGAACCATTGGACTACAAGTACAGGTACATGCGTTTCTGATGCTGGTTACTGAAATAAACATACAGAATATTAATCAAGACTTTATTGTTTCCACTTAAGATCCGTGGGATCTTATATTAATAAAAATGATCTGAACACATCTTTTTTAAATTCTTATCCAACTGGTCCTATAATAAAAACATACTTTTTTGACGCTGATTTGTAAATTATTTGCTAAATTTATTAGTTGGTTTACAGAATAATCAAAATGTTATGTCCTCGGAAGACTATAAACAGAAAAAGGGGACGGAATAATCACACAGATGGCTAACAAGGCAATCAGATTTTATCCAGCGGAGCAAGATGACATCAACACACTTTTCTAGAATCACACAAATGATCTCGATGAGGATGAGCACCACATGGTGTGAGCCACACACGGCATGATTTTAAAACTCACAGCGGCCACCGCAAAATAACAAACCAGAAACCTTGTGTCACGCAGCGACACACGCAATAATGCTATTTTGATGCGTGGTTTGAACAAAATTATAACGAATAATTTGACAATAATACACACACACATACACACGTGTATATTAATTTTTTCTAACACGAAGTCGTTTACCCGTTCCATTCCATTCGCCCATTCTCCGTGATTTCTCTGGAGTTCCTGAGCCTCGCTCTTAGCGACATTTTTTATCAAGACGAAATCACCAGCCTCGATTTCGGCATTGGGGTCATCTTCTACCTTGATTAGAATTTCAGGGTTGAAGGTCCAACTGGAAGATGGAACAGACAGTTTATTTTAAAAAACGTACTGAATGTATTTTTTCTGGAAAGTATTGTAGATTATTGTAGAAAATCCCCACTATGACAGACAGAAGTTTCTTTACAACACTGCCAAACACTAAATATCCTGACAGCAAATTAGCAAACAACATACATGTACCTGTAAACGCCACAAATATAAAGAAATCTTGATATAGACTGTCATAAAACTTAGCCATCAATCACTTTGCTCCACAGATGTTTGGGAAATAGAACTATCTAGAGCGTTCATCGTTGGCTATCACGTTGCTTAACTTTATACCGACAATTAGGTTACAACCTCTTTCACGCAAACAAAAAACACAAAACTTACTCGTCCCCGTTGATGCACTCCACAAAAACGTCTCCGTCTTTGTCCACTCTGTTGATGAGTCCCTTGATACCAAGACACTAAAAGAGAAGACAACGGAGGAAAAGGTGTTACAATACTCGTATATATACATGTGTCTGTTGAATATGGGCAACTGCTTTGGTACAAACACACCGTTAAACTTGCTACCACAACTACCACACTGTACATCAGCTTAAAATTGCATATCCACATAAGCAAGAAAATTTACCTAAAAAGCGCATTGCATGGTACTACTGTACACCTGTAAGAAGCAAAACTCATCACTCGAAACAAGTCAAAAAAACTCACCAATGTCATCTTTTCATTCCAACCCCCATGCCCTTTTTGCAGAAGTTTCACTACTTCGGCTTCTTCGGCTATTTGTACCACATCAAACCGTTTGAACAAGCCGCGGACTATCTCATCGTGGGATGTGTTTTTGTCTCGCTTGGTTTCTTTTGCAGCTTCGCTTGGAGAGGTTCCACCGACCGCAGAGCCATCTTCAGTCAGTTTCGTCAACAGTTCAGGATTAAAAGACCATCTGCAAAAGTTGAAGAACGGAAAAAAAAAGATAATAAGCAGATTACCCACAGAAACTCAATATATATATATATATATATATATATATATATATTATTTTTAATTTCATCGGATTAAGCGAATAATATCCATATCTGTTACAGCTGATGAAAGGTCTTCACAGATTTATTAAGCTTTCGGGTTAGAAGTCATGAGAGACACCTAGTGGGAGATGTTTAAACTGCACATTGTTTGCTGAAATACTAATGTAATTTTAATATATACATATTGTTCTAACGAAGAACGATACACAAACAACACTGATACCAAGTTATCTAGCAGAAAGGTGATATGCACTTTGTACTGCAAATCCAACTTTTAATCAAATACCAATGTGACAAATTTAGACCAACCTACGCTGGAACAAATAAATATCCATGCAACCATTTAAGATTAAATCTTTAGACTATTAAACTCTTACATCTGTCCGTCTGGAAATCCAACTTTGACGACGTGTAGTATTTTTCGCTCCACTTTCCCCTCTTTGCCAAGATACTAAAACACACAAAAAACGTTTGCTAGAATATATACTTCTGATATATTGGTACGTACCTGCTCTAGCACAAGGCCGGTGTATTAGATGGTTTATGGACCATTCCCACAAATGATTGGTTCGATCTATCTCTCTGGGGAGTCTCACTAAACTGCTATCAACGTAACCTGCTTAAATGTCTGTCACGCCTAGTAAAGCTGTTAGGGGACAGTTATCTTTACCCCCCCCCCCCCCCCCAGCTGATTCGGTAGGCGTGACAGACATTTAAGCCTCTCGAGCTGATAGCAATTTAGCGTGAACCCCCAGGGAGTTAGGTCGATCCAGATGGATCGATCTATGTATGGGAACCCAGTCTTAGCTTACCACTCTGTTAGTACATTTCCACAGTGTTTAAGAGGAGAAACAGAAGTCTGTTTATGCGTCAGTAAAAGACAGCAACTTACCACCAACAGAAAAAATCTTTAGTCATATGTATAAGAATGTAGCGCTGGTTTACTACAAATAGGGCACATCCAGTGGTAATTAATGTTCATGATGAGACGTAGAATGTTGACCTTGTACCTATATTGTTAAGAATGACATTGATATTGACATTGAATTACTGATATAAAAAACGAGACTTACCGGCCGCATGAATTCATTCCAGCCTCCGTAGTTTTCTTGCAGTTCCTTGGCTTTCACATAATCAGTGGTTACGCGGACCCTGTCGCCATTTTTAAACTTTGTCTAAACGAAAAAATATTTTCTCAACGACAAAATATATGGATTTTTGCAACCGTATTTATTAAGATTTATACGAAAGGGTCTACTCAAAAATACGTTGACATAAATACTGGTATACTTTATATCATCATCATCATTAAATAATCGATTTTTTTTACAGAAATACACGTTTTACGTCAATCAACCTCAAACTCTCTCTAATGGACTAGGTTTTTCAAGCTAAGTCCCTCACCTCTCCTTCTTTTTCCTCTGAGCTCTCATCTAAACCTTGCCGCATCAACAATTCAAGAAGGGGCGCGCCACGGCGAATCTGCTTCAGGAGGTCTTCGCTTTCCTTCTCCTTCTCCTTCCGCTCTTCAAGCTTTTCTTCCATCATCTGTTGAACGGCCTGTTGTAAAAGCTGATATCCTAAATCTTCCCCAGATTCTTCGCTCGTAGTGGTGTTGGTGCTGTCACTGCTAGAGCTACTGGTGGCACCACCTGGAGTCGTTTTTACATCAGTGGTATCGCCGCCAGGTGGAGTTGAAGGAGTGGAGACATCGGCTGAAAAACCTTATAAATGGAAATATAGTGTTTGCATTAAATCACGGTCAGACAAATGCACAAATATATATTTGTTTAAGGTGCAACTGAAATCTATGACTGGTTAGACGCATGCTTGCTTCATATTTAAAAGGTCGTTTATAGTAATCTTGAAGTCGTGCTGGACCATAAAGATTTAAATTTGCCAGGTACTGGACGAACAATGGCCACCATTAATATTCGTATAATTTATACAAACGGATGCAAACGTACCAACTTGAGATATGAACAAATATGAATATTCCTACGCGATGTAGTGATCCGTTAATTAGAACTGAGTCTTCTAAATTTGCATACATCAGATATGTATATATTTGTACGTTTTAATTATTCAAATATACTTAGACATGACATGTTGCATGGCAGTTTAAGAGAAGTTCATTTAAAATGCAAATCAAGGTTTAATTTAAGGCCGGTGATAGTAAAAGGACCAAAGTCATAGAAACAAAGCCCTGAGCTTANTAGCACCAGTCATCCAGACTACTGGCCGCCTACCACGAATCAACCTAGACGCTCCAGCTTGGCAAAAAGAGACTATAAGCTGTCATAAACATTTGACCCTTTGTGCAGCTGTACACCAATGTTCACTAATCCTATTATCGTTTGTGTGTTTTATTAAGCTGTTCCTCAAACTTTGCGGTCTGCTTGTTTTCTCACACTAATGACCTAACATGTATTGTTGATATTTTTAATTGATACTAATATTAGTTTCTTACATGTTTGCCCAGGTTGCCTTGTAAGGCCCACTGATCCAGATGTGCACGGAATCCATTCGTGTAGTTGGCCGTCGCATTATGTTTCACTTGGCCGTCGAATAGAAATTGAACAAAGTATTCAGCAGTTCTATTATCGCCTATGCTGTTGTCATTGGAGATGTCACAGGTGATTATTATGGATCCATCTGATACGGACGGCCCAGAAATAACCGGCCGTTTCTTCATCAATGGATGTCTCGCTGAATGAAATATAAAAAAAAAAAAAAAAAAAAAAACATATATCGGAAGTAGTAAACACTATTAATAAGGAGTTGGTTTAACGAAAAAATAGTGACACGCGGATAAAAGCACCAAATTTAGCACCTGGTTGCCTTTTGACATTCTAAATCAAATTCTAAATTAGAGAGGACTCAAACCAGTGTTACTGGGAGGATATACTAGGACGAACGTGGACCCCGGGGTAAGCTGGCCCGTGGTCAATTAATGAAAAAGTAACTAAGAGGAAAAAAACTGATCACATTATCTTGTAAAGTGTCCGTATCCAGCAAATTTAAGAAAGTGTCGATTGTAAAAAGGTTTTACCTAAACGGTGAGCCCAGATGAAACACTTCTGTATTTAAAGGTAATTTATTAAAATGTTTTAAAATCTAGTTACAATTTACTGTCTGCCTATAGTCTGAAGTACTGCTGCATTTGTGGTAGTGCTCGTTTGGCTGGCTCAAGTATCAATCAAAAACGGCTCAAACAACCCAAAAATCTTTTAAAACTTTTGAAACAAAGGCAAAATTTGACTTCATCACAAACAACGTTCACAGTTACTGCGTGTGGTGGCTCAGATTGTGGTATTTGCAGTACAGACAACTATTATTCGTAAATGGGAGCATGAAAACTTTCAAAAATGACAAGGTTTTCGAAGTTAATGCTACATGTAGCATGAGGTGCAACTAGGAATTTAAAACACTGCTAAACCTGCCCTACGTGTGGAGAAAACTATATTGGACAGACGGGGAATTATCTTCCACAAAGGCCACAGGCCCAAAAGCAACAAATCGGACATACAGTACATACACTGATGCTCATAAGTTAAGCAAAACTTTCTTTACTCTCAAATTTCTCAGCAACCAAGCTTTTTATTGAGGCAAAATTGGCACAGGAGCTAGATCCCAGCAGGCATAGTTACGTTGGATCAACATTGAAAACAGGTTGGGGCGTTGAATTGCCGTTGTTCTACCTAAATTCAACGTTAAATCAACGTTGATCCAGCCACGTCAAAACACCGCACGCGTCATAATGTGACGTTGACTCAACGCTGTTGTTTGGTCGTCGTGATGCAAGACATGAATTGATACTTTGTTTATCAATTCTGTAACTAACTTTATCAAAAAATTAAAAACGGTGTAAAAGTGACAATTGTTTTTTGTCTTTAGTGAACTAGTGAATTTTCTTAACTTGTTATTCAGAAATACTTTCCAATAAACTTCCTTGCAAGGTCAGCTTACACTAGGATGAATAAGTCGCTGTAAATGTGATGGAGTGAAGTTAACAACGTTGACAGTTCACGGTGCCCTGTTATAGATAGACAGATTGAGATGACCGTGAGGTTCTTATATATATATATATATATATATATATATATATATATATATATATATATATATATATATATATATATATAAACCTAAAAGGCCATACATATATACCCTACATAAATGTATATTTAGCCATCAAACATGTCCTACTGCTTAACACATCCAGGCTAAAAGGGTGTACCATGCTTAGGAGCTAAATCCATTGAAAAAATGAGACCTAGCAGGCACTTGGATGATTTTACAGCGTACATTACCATTGTGTACCTGTGTTTTGTACAAAAAAATAAAACATTTCAGGTCATTTTAATGTCTTTTCATGCAAAAATGCTGTCTAACAACTGGGGTTGATACAACTTTGTTATCTGACGTTGATCCAACTTTCAAATCCAACGTTTATCCGACGTCTTATCAACGTTATGGTTCAACGTTGTTTCAACGTTAAAACAACATAATTTGCCCGCTGGGATATTACTCTTGTTCTTATTTTGAATTACTGGACCGTGACATTGGAGTACTTTTTACTGTTGGACAGGGTAGAATATGTAATATGGTACCACATGCGAAAAACACAGTTTGGGCATGCCATGCGGGGCTTCCAGTTTGGCTAATACATGGTGTAGTGATCCGTTAATTAGAACTGAGTCTTCTAAATTTGCATACATCAGATATGTATATTATATGTGTAGTGATCCGTTAATTAGAACTGAGTCTTCTAAATTTTCATACATCAGATATGTATATATTTGTAAGTTTTAATTATTCAAATATACTTAGACATGACATGTTGCATGGCAGTTTAAGAGAAGTTCATTTAAAATGCAAATCAAGATTTAATTTAAATGTATCTACAATTAAGTTAATGTACATAGGCATGGCATGTTTCATGACAGTTATGAAAGCTAATTTGAAATGCAAATTAAGANCATACTTTTTTGATTAATATAAACAAAAAAAAAACTCAAAAACATGATTTTAAGCGTATTTAACCCTATCACCGGCCTTAAATGTATCTACAATTAAGTTAATATACATAGGCATGGCATGTTTCATGACAGTTATGAAAGCTAATTTGAAATGCAAATTAAGATAGAGTATAAAGGCAGTGACTGAGCCACAGAGACGGATAGACTTACAGACTGAGAGAGTTAGAGATAGTTATAGATACCACAGAGAGAGAGATGGTAGAAGAGACCTGAGTCTTCAGTTGGTTGAATAAATCATGTAGCAGTAAACTATTCCTGCCTGTCTCAGTTGACTTATTGGTGAAAAAGTAACTCAAAGAACAAGTGTATAACCACCGACTGGTTATTACAGCGAGAGTAAGTATTCCCACTCACCGCACATCGTCCTCAACTTCTCGTGCACTAATGCGGACTTGGGCCTCTCTTTCGCCCGTACCTTGATCATCTGACCAATCAGCTCCTTCAACTGCGTCAACGCAGTGTTGTCTGCCGTCTTGTGCTGTACCAGATCGGGAGCGGGCATTCCTGTTTTACTTGACTGGAGTATTAACATGCCAGGCGGAAGTAACATTCCACTGGAGTGGGTCTCTGAAACAAACACCATTGGAATATAATATAATATAATATAATATAATATAATATAATATAATATAATATATCAAAGGATTTTAGTACAAATGTTCGTTGCATTGGTATTTAGATATAAATCATAATTATTTGACTCAGGCTGTGAACTTTTTTCGGAGGCCCTCATCAGACTTGTGTGAGTAGATATGTCGCTACTCAGTGACTAGGTAAGTCTAATGGGCCTCTAAATTGTGTCAAATAATCATGATTTAAAGGCTGATTCGTTTTTGTTTTTGTTTTTTTTTTCGCTGCTTCACCTGTATCTTATATAAATACCGTATAGAGATAAAAATGGATCATATTAATCAATTAGGAAATATCACTTTTTTTCACATATAAATCAGTATAACCCTAAAAATATTACCATAAAACACGTTTACCAAGATTGTAGCATACTTCACATTACACCCAAGTATTACATTACATCCATTAAAAAGCAGTGGACGCCGCGTTCCACACACCTTTTGTAAAAGGCAAAATGTCTCCTATTTCCTCATAATATATCATCCCTAAATAGATCAACCCCAGCGCAAACACGTCCACAGCGGCGGTGTAGGGTTCCTTAGCAAACTGCTCTGGAGCCATGAAACACGGGGTTCCCGCCACAGTGGTCATCAGAAACGTCTTGCTCAAGTCCACATCGGCCACCTTGGACAGGCCGAAGTCTGTGACCTTTATAACTGGTTGGGGGTCGGAGGAGGTCTGCTTTAACATTCTGTAAAGAAAGGGATTTGTGACGTGCACCTCAGTTATAAGTTATAAAGTCGGAGCAAAATATTTTATAAATATGAAATATGCTAAAAAGTTTAAGAGAAAATCGACGTTTGATTTGGTGTCGTGTCGCTTTTTATACCTATGAGGGGAGGGGGGGCACCTACAAAATTGATCAAGCGGATGCCCCCTCCCATCTCCCGTCCCGTTCCTCCACAATATATTACCAACAATATTTATAGTCTAAAATGAAATGAAATAATACATGAAAAAACGTGATTAAGTGGTGGCGTATTAAAATTTAAAAGCCTTGTGCGCCAAAATATTTAAAGAAATACTCCATAACCCCTTGGCTTGCTCTTATTTTGAAAAACTCATATTGTGAAGGGTGTGACAGAGTTATTGCGGTAGTTGAGCTCCACAGAAAACGAAACCACAGTGATGACATTCCTCCAATACAGAAATACAGGTATAACTGTAAATTATAGAATGCGAGCGACATCTTATTTCTGAAATACAGTGCCAGGTATTATATACAAAGATATCGGTACGTGAGAAGCCACGCTAAAGCTCCAGATCAATACAGGCCTATTGACGTACTACAGTACTACATGTAGTAGGGCCTAGTAGCACCTAGCAGGCACATGTCACTAAAGAGCACTTGCCGGGTTCATCCCGCTTTCTGAACGCACTGGCACATTAGGCACTTTTTTTAACAAAAAATACACTGCCCACGCTAAATACTAGACATTTTCATTTTCTCGAGCTTTGCACTGTGCTAGTAAATCATAATTGTTGCTCTTGTGCAGACAAGGCAGTACAGATAATCTATAGATCAAAGAATCAGACGTGTGGTAACAAAAATCATAACAACTGTCACTGTTAATTTCTATCTGTAGTATTGAATTCGACCTCTTACTCACATGTTCCCTGGTTTTAAATCTCGGTGTATAACGGGTTCCGGTAGAGAGTGCATGAAGGCCACGGCGGCGGCCGTCTGCCTCATAAAGTCCATCATGGTGGCTTGGTCCACCGGCTTGTGGTCATCGAAATACTTCTTCAGCTCCCCGCAGTTGCAGAACTCCATGACGACCCAAAACGAACTTCTGAAGAAGTGGAAATCGTACAGCGCCACCAGGTTGGCATGGCGGGGGAGTTTTTGGAGCGTCTTGATTTCTGACATAGCGTCAGCGCCACCTTTGTCGTCTTTGATCTCGAGCTGCTTTGCCGCCACCTGCGAGAAAAAAAAAATAACAATGGTGGATCATCGCTTTTCTTTAATTTTCTTATTGTGTTTGAAATAAAATAACGACTACAAAGTTACAAAAAAAGACAACCATGAAAACATCCTGAAGACAACCATGAAAACTATTTGGTTTAATTTTGCCTTTCACTTTCAAAAAGACCTTATATATCTCAAAAGCAAATGAAAAAATTAAATGAACAATATCTACTAAAAAATAAATACGCAAGTTATGTCTTAATGAAAAAGCTAGGGGTCACTGTTCTTCCACTACCACTGATACTCAAAGAGATAATTCAATTACAGATAAATCTGGTGTCATTTGAGCCGAATCAATATTTCACGAATTTTTTTATTCAATTTCTTTTAATTAGAAGTATATATGATAATAATGATTTAAGATGGGCCTAAATAGTAAACGACACGGGAAATGGTCAACAAATGCTCAAATTGACTCATCGAGTTTCTATACAATACTTACATCAATATTTCTCTTCGTATCTATACCCCTGTAGACCACACCAAATGCCCCCTGGCCCAGCTTGGTAAACATATTGATATAGACATACTTCCCTAGCTGTACAGAGCACTCAGGGTCGCTTGCTGCAGCCATGGTTTTGAACCCTTTCTTTACCTGGAAAAGAGATTTAGTGTTAATTAATCATTTGGTGGAGCGTAGATATCAGAAAGGAAGGTGACGGACGCTAATGGAGCACTCGACCCCCTCTACCCCCTCGCCTGGACCCAACGCCATTTATACCGAGTACATCTCCATCCCTCTCTCTCTCTCTCTCTCTCTCTTGCTCACTCACTCATACACACACACACACACACAGAGAGAGAGAGAGAGAGAGAGAGAGAGAACACTGCGCTATGGATTACTATATACAGCACAAACATACGTTGAATATCCATTAAAAAACTTAATGTATTCAGTGGCTTAATTATTTAGGGTAAGTACCGAGTAGTGTCGGGGTAGCAGCAATAGAAGTCCGCAAGGAACCGTGGTCCGCTTCCCATTACCTTGTACAGGTGACATTCGTCCCATATACTAACTCTAATACTCCGACTAACCCTAACCTGTACTAATCGTATGCATGGGCGGATCCAGAGGGGGTCCTCGGATGCAAAGCCGACCCTAACCACCCCAACCCACACCCCCTTCCTTGTCGTGGGGTTCGGGACCTGCTGAGGGCGAACAATGCCATCTGGTACGGTTTAAGACAATGATTCAGCTAGTCAAAATTCTAATTTCAAGAGGGGACCATTGGTGTGATTATTTTCAGAAACTGAAGGAGGGGGTCAGGACCCCCACACACACTCCCCCAAATCCGTCTCTGCATATGGGGCCCGTACTTCCATTCCTAGTGCTAACATTCCAGTCACACCGAAATTCTAACAGTGTTATAAACCATACTGTGGAAATATTAAGATGGTTGATAAAAAAGCTTTATGTCACTTTGCCCAGCAAGTGTAAAACAATGGACTTCTAAATATTGTATACTTTTTTATGTTGGGGGGGGTTCTAGTAAATGTGACAAGTGCCCCCCCCCCCTCCACACACACACACACACACACACACACACACACACTTGGTTCAGCCATCATAGCCCCATCCCCACACCCTCACACATAGGCCTACAATAACTATTCTTCAACACTGTTCATCTAGTGCACTGTCGCCATATCTTTTTACTTACCAGTTTATTCAAACATGGTTGGGGGGAGGGGAAGTTTCGAACGAACCATCCTTTTGACGAAAAAGGGCCCTCTAAGGGTAAAATTTGATCTAGGTACAAATGTATGAACTATCGTGGTTGAAAAATCGAATTTTTCAGCAAAAGACCCCCCCCCCTTTGAAATTGCTGGCTATGGGTCTTATATAGGCCTATTGTATTGGCTGTTAAATTCTGTGTAGGGGGCCTATAACTTATTCGGGTCAACCTAAACTCCATACGCCTAAGCCTTGATCAACAATTATTGAATTATCATGACGACTGCTATCGGTATTTATATCACGGTTCTTGTAACACCGGAAGTCAGGAGTAATACAGTAGGTGTAGGCCTACTTTCGATATCGAAAGCACTCTCCCACACCCTATACATACCATTACAGAGGTCAAGATCTGCCCTAGTTACACGAACATTTATACGTAAACATTCCTATGTACATGTTCTTGTAATTTACTAGCTTATTCTGCATGTTCTAACGCATGACAATATAGGTGTGGGTGCGTCACCTGTACGCCATTTTACAGTAATCTCCACTCCTACATGTTTATCGTTAATGTGTTGCCCCATAAATAACGTATCGATGAGCTGCAGCCTGGAAAGGCCTACAATGTCCTACCTGCTTCTAGCGATCTTTATATAGACCCTCGGTCGCTCAACTCGGCTGCTTCATGTAAAGTGTATTTGTCCATTAGACCAGGAGAAAGAGCAGTCTATAGTCATCTCCGATCAAGCTCAGGGTCCGATATCTGAGCCTCGTCCCCGTTATTCGATGGATGTTTTGATCACAAGGGAAATTTCGATCACGTGAGCTAAAACGGGAATTCCCCATTTTGCTGCCTCGCCCGCCATACTGTATTTTGCACCCTAATATTTTCGATTGTAGCTAAGAGTAACTTTATTAGTAGGCTGAAGGGTGTTTTTATAAACAAAAACAAATAGTAAACAGGACGCACAGCATATTCCAAGGATGCTGTGTACTTAAACCTGGCCAAAACGTGTTGACGAGGAACTTTCCTGTTCTTTCATTTTGCATATAGTAAAAACAAAACAAAAAGAGTCCCTGGTCTATAAATAGCTACGGGTAATTTAGTCAGCAGGTACACCGCAGTAAGAACGTACCGGTATATATGTGTCATTAAATACACAGATGACAGGGGGAATAGATCGTTTACTGCTTTTACTGTAGCTACATTACAGCACAACGAAATTGAGACGATATCGCACCGGTGAGTTGTCCTTATAAATGATATGTTGATAAAGAGAAAATACAAGCTAGACAGTCGACAAGGCATTTTAGTCCACTTTTGATTTGAAAAAACTATGATGTGGAAGTGTTATTACTCATACACCTATGACTTGATAGTGCTTGATAATATAGGAGCTAGCAGGAGATTGAGAAAGAAGTAGACCTACATGTAGCTGGAGTCTTAAAATGGCCAGTATTTGACATGTGTATAACCACTTGTACGTGTGTCGATCTTCATGTGGGGTATTATGTACTAATTAAGGGTGGGTGGATGGCTGGGGGGAAGGGGTGTAGAGGAGAGGAACAAAGTTTGTCTCGGTTATCTTTGCAAATATTTAACAGTAGACAAGTATGTAATCAGCGAGTAGACATGTTAAATTATTGCCGACCAAATTTATAGACCTAGGCACCGTCATATATATAGTCTCATAAATTTTATAATTTAAAGAAATGCCACAGAGTTTTTTTTTCCATTTTATCCCTTCGTTTCTGAGGGCAAGTATAAGTAGCCCCATGGTAGGTCTAGGAATCGAAAGTTTTTTCGGCTAACCAAGTGACTAATACGGGTTATTTTATTTATTTATTTATTTTATTTTTATTTATTTTTGGGGGAGGGGGCTTGTGTACTTTATGGATTGTGTAAGAAAACGATTGAGGTGTAATTTGTGACTGTATCAGGGAATTCACACTGCTTTACTCTCGCTTATTATGCATCTTTAAGGACAACTTTAGTTTGTTTTCTAAAGAAAAGGAACATAAAATCTCGTATTTTCCATATTACCATTTTTTGTGATGTGGTTTTTGTTTGTGGTTGAAAAAGGGAGGGGGGGGGGCAGGTCGACATGTGGCTCAGTAGTTAAGTAAGGGCAAACTTGCCCACCCCCACCCCCACTGATACACACTACTGCTACCGGTACATAATTAGTTCCAATGTTGAAACAGTGGTGTTGAAGAGAGGTTCGTGCAACCTTAGCCCCCGCTCCACTCCCCCCCCCCTCCCCTCCGAAAAAAAATAACAAGACATGAATTGATACAAAATGGAGTCCATTGCAAGGATAATGCAAAATTAATACTAACAGAACAATACGAGACTTTGCTTTCAACCACCCCACACCCTCACAGACACACACACACACGCATACGTGCACACACGCACATACACACAAACCCACACACTCACAAACGCACGTACACACACAAATGCACACATACACTATTTCCTCCCAATCGGGTCAGAGATTTGCACAACTTGCATCCTAGGGTCTGATTATATAAATGTCCATGCACTTATCTCACAGCATGGCTTTAAAATGTATTCAGCAGTAATAATNCCTACTATAATCAGGTCATATATGTTAATGTATGAAGCTAGTTTTTGTTTTTCTAGAAACGTACAAGATGGCGGAGAGTCAGTGCGTTGTGAAGTTAGGTCGGTACAGGGTCAACATGCTGGATAAACTGGGACAAGGCGCCTTTGGAGTGGTCTACAGAGGGGTTGATACTAAAACTGAGACTCAGGTGGGTGCCAACACACATACATATGTACAAATTAATAACAGGTGAATAAATTAATTAACGAAATTACGGATAAGTCTAAAGTAGATAGATAATTAAGTAAATATATAATAGCGTATCTATAAATAGATGAATGAATGATAGGAAGATAAATGAAAACTATTCATGTACAAAGAAGGACCCCCTGACCCCCCCCCTCTAAATCCGCCGCTGAATTTGAAGCCTCTTTACTTATTTTTTCCCCTCCATTTACAACATGCAGCCTAGCTACTTTCGTTTCCCTGCAGTCAAATAAGTATCGGAAAGTGTAAAAGCATATCACGAGTATCACGAGTTCTTATAAATTATGCTGTTCTATATGATAAGTACATTGAGTCAAACTGATCCACTGACATTTAAAATAGGAAGCAGAGATAAACATTAAGTAATGATATATGAAATCGTTTAGATAATATAAACAGATTACGCCACATACAGGTACATGTATGTATGTTTGTCAATATTTTTTTTTCTGCTCAGATTGCAGCAAAGCAGATAGAATTAAAAGAAACTCCCGAAGGCGGGGACGCACTGGCAGAGCTTAAAGCTATGCAGAGCGTCCCGTCACACGACAACATAATAAAACTTCTGGACTTCCAATACCATGGTAACTCCTACTGGATCCTGGTGGAGTACTGCGACTGTGGCGACCTCACCGCTTATTTCAAGAACTACACGCCAGTCCCGGATGCTACAAAGCTGGAGTTGATGCTCCAAGTGAGCGCCGCAGTGAACCACTTGCATTCTCAACCAGAGCCAGTAACACACAGGGATCTGAAGCCACAGAATATGTAAGAATATTTGCACGATGAACATAAATGAAACTGCATTTTTTAAAGTCATAATAACTCTTCATTTTGGCCAAAATTGGATTTTCCTGGAGTAAACGGCAATAACGAATAGATTTTATTGCTGTATCCATGTAAATCACCACTGTATGGCTAACCTACATAATATTATCATAATGCAAACTTTTCAATCGATTACGATAAACCTTCGTCTGACTTTGCTTGTTTAAAAAACGCATGTGATTCTGGGAGCATTTAATATGACAACATGATAAGTTAATATGAATTATGAAAAAAATAGATCTCACTGCATTTGCCTGTGTTCCCAAAAGAATGACCATTACGGCTTAATTTATATCTAAATCTCTTTTTTTTATATAAAAAATGCGAAACAACATATTTTATTTGCGATTTTCTCTTATTACAAAGTAACACCAGATCATATGTAACCCTTGCAGTGATATTCTAACTACTCCTCCTTGTTCTCAGAATGTTGCGTTATGGCGCCACAGATGACCGCCCTGTCGTCAAGGTAACGGACTTTGGACTCAGCAAATCTGCAGACACAGGAAAGACTTTCCTCATGAACACGGTGGCCGGGACGCCATGTTTTATGTCCCCGGAGCAGTTCTCACAGGAGGGGTACACGTCTTCTGTTGACATCTTCGCCATGGGGCTGATTTTTCTCGGAATGATAAATTTTGATGAAGTTCAAGATATTCTGCCAATGTACAAAGGTGTGTGTATGTTTTGTCATTTATATATAAGTACATATATTGTATATTTTTTTGAAATATTGGTCGCAAATTGTAAAACTAAATAATCATGTACATATACGTGTAGAAAGAGCTTTGAATGTGAATTATCTTCAACGTTTATTAGCGTTTCAAAAATTGTCTTTCCGATTGAAAATCTCATATATATATAGATAATAATAAAGTATCAATAAGATTATTAAATGTTAGTTAACGCCATATCCACTGGTTTAGAATGTAATTAAAGCTCAGGTTTCATTCACTGTTGGGTTGAGTTGGGTTGAGATAAACATTTTTGTATAATTTAGCCATACTCTTTCTATTCAGTGTGCGTTCCGTGCTTTGTAAACTTAAATTTACGGACTACACAGTGTTTTTTTATTTTATTTATTTTTTTCATTCAAAAGTGTGTTTATAAATTTAAACAATGTTAATTATTCACAGAGGACATAGACTCTGGAATGGCTATTCCCCCCGGGTTGCAGTTAGTGAACGCGGCGAGGGCGGGGTTAGACCCCCCGGTGTTGGTCAAACAACGGTCGTCTGACGGGACTTTGGTGGAACAAGTGAAAAAAGTGATAGAAAAAATGGTTTGCTTTGACAAGTCGAACAGGCCCCTCTCCAAAGAAGTCACCGAAATGCTTCAAGAGATATTCGGTAATTTTTTTTCTGCATTATATTTAACAATTCTATCAGAATGAGATAGGCAATGATGAACATTAGACACATAAGTTCATCCCACTTTGACATTTTGTTCTTTGTCACAAACTAAGAATTTTTTAACTTGTAAGAGATATTTTGATGCGCTATCTAGGTCTCGTTAAGACAGAGAAAGATGGCTGATGACACTGAAATACATCTCGTGAGTAAATGAATTTTTAGTTTGTCGCAAAAGAACATTTGATCATCATCATTTAACATACTAATTTATCTTTTCTTAAACAAAATAGATGTAGCAAAACAATTGCCTGTGGTGGTTCAATGTAATATGTCATGTACAATTTTGTTAGATTTTCTCTTACCCGAGTATACATGTATAAAAACCATTTATGATATAGTTGCCTTATACATCCTACTTATTTTCATAAAAAATGACTTAAAATCTGTATTACTGATCTGAGACATAAACTTAAAATGTTTTCTTTTGTAATTGATTTAAAATTGTGCAGTATTTACCGTATTATATTTATAATTTACAGGTCAAATCTCAAAACTACCGCCACCACCTCCGAAACCAAAGGCAGAGCCCATTGCACTGCTTGAACAACATCGCGCAGAGACGAGATCAGACGAGAAAAATACGAAAAATACGGGAGCAGACGATGACTTGACCGATTTTTCCCTGAAGATGGCCCACCAAATGTTTGAGGAAGACTTGGCACGCGCAGCGGGAGAGGGGAGTGGCGGAATTGGACTTTTACGAGCTTTAGAAGAAAGAAGATCTCGATTTGAAGACTTGCTCAAGGGGATCGCGTCTGATGACAGCGATGACGACGAAGATACTGAGGGTGATCTAGCAAAGGTTACAATATCACTTGCACAATTAAACGGCACCGAAATACCTGCATATTGCCCATGATTAATTAATTAAAATATTTCATTTACAATTACAGTTTTCTCATCTTTTTAATTTAATAGCACTTTATCTGTGTGTTTATATATATTCATTTCTTGGTCTTTTCGCCCATCTTTTGACTGATTTTTGGCTGAATATACTCATTTCTATTTTTTCAAAAAGGGAGACCGAGTGGAAATAGACCCGGACGAAGAGAAAGTGAAGAAACTTCAAGTAAACCATGGGGGATGGAACACGCGGATGAAACACGTATGTCCGGCTTTTGTGAGATACAAGTATCCTCACTTTACATATATTAATGAATATCCAATATTAGATATTTTAACTTGCTATTTTGTTTATCATCTTTTTTCCCCAAAATGGTGCCATTAAACACTGTCCTGCTGTTTGTTAAACTTATTATCTTACTTCTTTTTTGCCACTGGAAACTGTGTCATTTTCGATATACATGTACATGTATATCGTTCACCGTTTTCCGTTTTACCAACGGTCTCCAAAGTATTTCGTCTAGAGACGGCGTATTTTTCTCGTTTCAGTATCTGGGAGTGAAAGGGAAAGTAGAAAGTAAAACGCGGAGACGTGCAGTGGTGAGATTCACAGACGGTGAACGGTAAGTCAGTTAAGCGCCATTGGTTATGCCTCGCCATAATGCGGGTCTAAACCAAGATCAAATAAGACCGTTTTTTTAAGTCCTCACATGCTGCATGTAAACGCCGTTCAATTGAACTTAATATTGTTAGACATAGGTTTTACTGTTACAGCTTGTTTTTCTATCCCAATGTTTTAATAATTTAGATGGTCCTACAATATTAAAGCATTGAGAAAAATAGAAGCTGGCGAAGATACAAGTGAGGATTTAGACGATTTCCAAAAGAGCGTACTGCTGAGTATGGGCAAACATAGAGACGTGGCTGTGGAGGGGTTGTTTAAGAAATATGACATTGTTAAACTTTCGGATGAAGAAGAGATCGTAAAACTTTTACAGGAGGGGCATGGCGGGTGGAATGAGAGGATGAAATTGGTAAAAAGATATATTTTATTGCTGTAATAACGCCAGACCTGTAATTGGTTAATTTTGCAAAAAGAAAAACATATTTGTTATTTGTGTTTGAGACAACCGCGAAAAATTTTGTGTTGCCTTTTATCTTTCTAGTAAAGCAAATGCATTTAAACATGTGGATGAATAGTTTTCCCAGAATTGACAGTATTAAGGATAATATTACGCAATAGGGGTATAATCACATCTTGATTACAGAACTGTATTTTGCTTTAGCTCTTTAAGTTAACCGAAATGTTGTTATATGCAAGTACGTTTAACCCAGCCTTTACAGAACGATTGTATTTTATATTTTTGACAGAGTCTTGGAGTTAAAGGGCTCGTAAACCGCGTGGAGTTCGGCAATGTCCGTGTTGAATTCGTCAACAGCGACACGTAAGTATACTTTCTACTAGTGAACATTGAAACAGACTGTAAAAAGTTATAATTAGTAGCGAGCTTGTTTGGAGGGCCATATAGTTAACAGTATCCACAAAACATTGCCAAGACCAGGGTTTTAAGACATGCAAACTTCACCTGCCGCTGAAAACCACCACTAGGGAACATTCTTCCTTTTCTCTGTATAGGGGAGCGAGGTTTTATCTGTAATCTTAATTTTAAAACGATGCAGAAATAACACACACAATGACGCAGGTGTGTCATTGAAATCATAGCTGATACATTTTCTTGTAGCTCGCATGCAGTTTTAATTATTCTTGGAAATGTTAGTCAGCTTTCTGGTGAGTTTCTTGGCAGATGTGACACTCAGAAACTAGTTTTATACGATCTACACCCAAGTATTCACTTCCTAACCTAAACAGTGCACATTCATTCATTCATTCATTAAGAACCGTGAATAGAAATGACCCATGCTCAAAAACACGTGCTTAAAAGCACCTATCACGTGTTTCGTGTCTTATTCCATCTCCTGAATACTGACCTGCTCATTGAAATGAGACTTATTGGAGAAGGGTGTGTTATTAACATTAACGATGATGTTTTAATTTATTTGTAAGTTTATCTATTTATCTATATATTGGTTTCATTTAGCTGGGCCCTGAATCCCGAGGTTCTTATTAAAGACGAGGAGGAAGGGACAGGAATTGATGATTTAGAGACTGGCGACTTTGTCCTCATACGGCCTGTCTCTGAGCAGGAGGCACGGGTCCTACAACAGGATCATGGCGGTTGGGCAGCGGGCATGGAGAAGGTACATATTTATTTATTTATTTATTTGTTCATTTACTTATTTATTTGATAATTTATCAACCACGTATGCATCTATTTATACACTATGTTTTGTACAAGATGGTTTAAGTGGAGGATTTCATCCTCAATTATTTTCTGAAAACAAAATTATCTCAGGTTCGAACGTGAAAAACATTTTGGTTGAAGTGAAATCAAGTATTTAAACAAGCGCTAACAGCTTTACCTCCGATAGGTTTGATTTTGGCTTGGTTTGTTAGTTGACAGTCCCGCTAAGATTGTTACGGATTTTGATAAAATGTTAAGGATTGGTCGGAAATGGGATCACTTATAATCGATTAGTATTTGGTGGTGACCATCAATTAGTCAATTAAAATGGGGTTTCATATGCCTTTCTATTTATGGAAGTGATGTGATTTGTGACTCTGTATCGAATTTCAGTCTTTAGGCCACACCGGTATTGTAAAAGACGTACTTCCGGGGTCAAAGGTCAAGGTCGAGGTTTCACAGCAACCATGGGTATACAACAAGAGTTTGATAACTCTGGTGTGCAAAAAAGGTAAACCACTCTGTGCGAAGAGAACAATTATGAAATGCTTTTTGTTTTAGATATATGAAGACCTCAATTACCATCAAAAATACGTAATTCCTGATGGGGAAAGGGAAACTGGTTGTTTTTTTTAATTATTTTTAATGTAATGCAACATTATCTTTATAGATTTGCTAGCCGTAATAACAATTTATCGATTCATTATTTAAAGTCTGTTCTTTAAATGCTTTTAAAAACAAATGATAAAACATATGTGTACATCAAATATTCCTATACATATATATTGGGTATGTGAAATATACACAACGATAACCCTTAACATGCTAAGAGAATCCATAAGTAGTTGTACATGTAGTAGTAGTAGTAGTAGTAGTAGTAGTAGTAGTAGTATAGTGGCAGTTACGTCACCTATTTGACCAGCGGATGTTTTATTACAGAGGAGATGGTACGAGTGCTACTAAGGCGTCAGTCAACCATGTAAACCGCAGCACGGTTCACACACTACTTGTTGCCAGCTGTTCCCAGTCACTGGTGGCACTAGTTGGTCTAATCAACCATTGGCTTTCTGGGCTTATACTGTAAATGCGGCATTGCTTACCTCAATGTGCAATTACTATTCTCGCTGCGCGCCTCAAGAACAAGCTATGTATTTATCTGTGGGCTGATGGAACATAGTTGTCCAATGAGGCTTTGACCATCACGCTGTCATTTAAGAGCACTTTGCCTCCTGGACATTGCTCTTTGTAATGTGCAATAACCAAGATACAATATGGATGACCCGGACACTCGTATCTTGGGATAGAAACATTGATAAACTTAAAGCGTACTGATTGGGGTTTGCTTTAGATGTTATCTTTTTTAAATGTTAGTTGCCTTTTTTTCTTAAAAAATGTGACGCTCGTATTTTAAATAATTTTTTGTATTGTTATAGTTATTTAATTATTATTATTAATTTAATATACGTTTTATCTGTTTAACCTATTTACTTAAGTTATTTAATGAGATTTTCAATCACTCACTAACTGCTGTGTGAAAGTGTTCAGTTTCACATACATGTATTGTGATAGCGACTTGTTGTACGTGGATTTTCACAGCCGTCTTTAGCCCAGCTTATAGTTTTGGAGTTTTGTGAAATGCAGCAAAAAGTATTGCTTTAAGTGCACATGTATTCTATTATGCAAACGTGTTATGTAAACTCCAGTATTGTTACAATATTTGAACGTGATATTCATTTTAAGGCAAATTATAAACTGCAAAAACTTCAAAGTAATATGATCGAATTACTATGTCAAATTGCCTTCTCTTATGAAATAATTATGTGCTTAAATAAAATTAGAAAAATGGCTGAACGCGTTCGCTTTACTGTAATGAGGCCTTTTGGCATAAAGTAACCGCAGTAAACGCAGCATTTTCATCGCAAGGAGATCATGCACTTAATATCGACCGCAGGATGTAGCGATAAGGTGCCCGAAAAGCTCAGCGTCGCCGCAGTAATGTGAATGATTTGAATGAAGCTCGTTAACTTCTACTCGTCAGGGTCGTAAAACGCGATTGGGAGCAACCCAAGTACAGCATTTTGTTCTAAATCGAGTAAGAAACGTGCGGTTTTCTTATTTTAAATAAGTTATTTATCTTCAGCCATTTGTCGATCTCTATCAGTTTATTTGCTGTTAGATCAATATCATGGGAGAGAAACGTCTCCAAATGTGCAATTACCTTCTATAGAAAATAACAAAGAAGTGCGATGAATGGGTTTTGTAAATAATTTATTATTTCATCTAAAACCCCAAAAAATATATAAATATACACTCATACACTGTATGCAAGTGTTGTGTTAAAATAGTGAAACAATACACGCAACAACATTTCAAAAACAAAGACATTGCCCTGAAATACAAAACTACACATGCAGTCGAGGAAATTTTTATCGCATTTTATCACAATATTCTACATAGTTGAATCACAAACGTGGTCATCCCTTCCAACTGTAAGCTTCATGATGCAGTAAGTCATTTCCCCATTCCTTGTATTCTCTAATTCACAATGGCAAAAGTGGGGTTAAATTTGTCGTCTTTTTAAGAAGTTCAGATATCGAGTATTTTAAAAAATACGCCATCGCCGCTGTGACGTCATCTATGTGCAGATCTCCTCGCAGTTTCTCACTGTGACACAGTCCTTGACGTCATTGTATTCCCACTTCAGGCACTTGGGGTCTCCAAGGCGTCTGCCACGACCGACGCCCCCTCTATTGCCGAAAAACCATCCATAGTCGGCGCAGGTGCGCTCAGTTTTCACGACGCACCCCTCTCTCACCTTACAAGCCGATTGTTCGAAGCAACCTCCGGTGTTCTTTGGGGCATATGGGTCGACAGCAGGTCCCTTGACTGGTCCGCCTCCAACAGCAGGTCCTGGGCCACGTGGACCTGGACCCACAGGGCCGGGACCGCCAAAACCAGGACCCACGGGGCCTGGACCGCCAAAACCAGGATCCACGGGGCCTGGGCCGCCAAACCCTGGGCCTCCTAGTGGACCTCCTTGGACTCCGACAGATGCTGCGTCAACATCGCCGCCAGATTTTTTTCCGCCGATTTGTCCGAGGCGAGCATTGAGGTTGTTGAAAACTCTGTTTGCGTAGGCGCTGAATCGTGGCAGGGTCTGTCTGCGCTTTCTGGATTTGACTTCAGTCGAAGCTGAAAGTATATTAAATCTAACGATTAATGTTGTTGGGAGTTTGCCATACAAGTAATGCATTGTACTGAGGCATTACAACGTGGTATACATGTAGGTATTCCTTGAAAAACAAAATATTTAAAGGGATCATTTGGTGAAATTCCCCATCGCCTAATTTTGAGCTGATTCGGAAAAAAAAAATGATAATAATATAGGCAACTGATGGAAAAAGTACAGGGGTAAGTAAATAAAAGTAGAGGACGAATTTTGTGAGCTCTTTGTTGATTGGGGTTCGGTGAAAATGACAAATTCTTACCAGTGGCGTTTTCTTTTGTTGTCTGCTGAAGAAGCTGGATCTTGAGTCCGTCGCAGAAATCCAAGATGGCGTCAGAGAGTGTTCCGCGGTCAACTTTATCGTGGACGGCCTTGAAATAGGCGTGTGTCTCGCCATTTATGCTGGCGCCAGATTTCTGAAATACAACGACAAATTTATGATTATTGCAAATGTCATTGCATACGGTAGGCCTATTATTTTTATCTATTCAGTTATTGTTAGTGATATTTTTACCGTTTAGTTTGCAAAATTTTACTAACTCTAAACAAAAAAAATCATTTATTTTCAATGCAAATCAGGAATCTGGAAGATTTTATCTTTGACCATTGATTGTTCAAAAGAGAAGGAATATTGCAAAGCTATATCAACTGTTACTAACGGGTCTTTCAATATTTGTTACTCCCGTGTTTTAGCATTCGACATGTAATTAATACTTGATAAGGTACATTACCTCAGCTCTCTGAAACTCGCGTTCCACCTCTGACAGATCTGCAGCCGCCATATTGCTGGACATGTCACGAAGGTAACAGGATCCATCGTCTGCGAATTTCATGGCGAATTTTCCCTAAAAATTCCAACAGGTATTAATTCAAATAAAATACCAAAATATTGTTATGAATCGATCATAAGGTTAAAAGAGATGTCACGATATTTGTATGCACATGATATCTCAGGGAAAGGCCAAGGACTACTTAAGATTTAAATCTCTGCAGGCATGTTACCACAAAATCATATATATTACAACTTATTTTAAATTTTATATCCGTAGGTCTGCGCAGGGCTATGGGTCCCCAGTCGTGGTATTTTATTTTACAGTATATTATTATTATTATCATATATATATATACTTTTCGGTCACAATGAGTCAAAACTTACAGATTTGTAGTCGTGGAGAACGAAAGTCTCGGCTTTCCCGTCCCCTGGGAGAGTGTGGAGAGCCTCCAGTTTGTCTACGGTGCTGATCTCCACTTGCTGCTTTAATTCTTTGTTGCCGTCTTTGAAGGCAATTTGGAAGACCTGAGATAAAATTGAGGCTTATGAGTTGATCATTTCACAAACAAAACATTTATAACGGTAGGCATTATGTTTATACTCTTTCCATACAGAGTTCTCTTTTAACAGGGAATACCTCAAGTAGAGAGAAACGAAACGAAAAACTTTGAGTATTGGACTCTCTATTACAAAAACATTTTCGTTGCTGAATTTTGTTAAACTTAAATTGAAAAGACGTAACACCATTTGCAAATATGTGATAAACACGTCTTGACAAAGCTCCATCCTGATTTGAAAAAGGAAACTTAGTAAAGGAAGCTGACCTTCATGAGTTCGACCGTTGACCTCTGAGTGATGCCGATGGCCAAAAGTGTCGCCGAGATGGACACCACGATCACGACCACTGCGGCGATGATCACGTATTTCTTCGTGTTGTTTCGCTGCTTCTCGGGGGTTACTATGGTAACCTGAGGCTGCGAGACTTCTTTTTCGCTTTGCATCATGGCTTCTGGCAACATTGCTCTAAAAATGTTGACATTAAGATAGTAATTATAGATTGTGTGCCAAAATTGAAAGACCAGTGAAAAAGTGAGGTATTTCACTGGAGGTATTATTAAGAATGCACAATTAACTTTTTCTCCAACTTTATTCTTTTTTCTTCCTTTTTCTTTTTTTTTTCTTCTACACCGAGGCCTGCCTCAAATAGCCTCAACAGTAAAGAAAAACGACAAAACTGTCTCAAACATTGATTGACTACACTAAACTGACGAATATAAAAAAGATAACTTTTCACTTAGATGAATTATTTTAAAGTACATCGATAAAGGAGTAATGAATAAGACTCGACTTACTTGTCAACTTTGAGACTTTGGTTCAACCAACAAGGCACAGCAGCAGGCCAACTCTCTTTACCCAGAGACGAAATGAGACGAATCTGACGAACATGTCCAGGGTTTCACTTTATATACCCCTTGTGCAGTCCAGCACGCGGAAATACACGCTAACTACAAGAGGAAGTAGCCGGGCAACCCTTGGTGGACAGCCATTTTGGAGAACCAATCAGATTCCGTCGTTCATTTGACTCAAGTTTTGAACGGCCACGGCATGCGAGGTGCAAGTTTGTTTACCTGAGGTGACGATCACGTGCTGCGGTTTCATTACATCCACCGGCCATTTATTTCCCGAATTATTCTGACCACAGCATTCCCTTCTCGTGCCTGAGGGCAATCGTGGCACACTTAGTCCGGTGATAAAGGTAGAAACAAAGTGTTGAGTTGTTGATGATCATTGTCTGCATACTACAGCTTATATAACGGGTCTCCATTTATTGAGGAAGTTTGGCTTCAGAGGGCGGCTTGACCATAGTTACTTGCTATGCTATGTGTAAAGCTATAACTGTCAAAGATGTTCCAGTGATATAGTTAAATGCGCATGCCACTAATGTCAATGAAGGGGGGATCTTTTTGTTTAAAAAGGACCTTTTTGCCCTTTCATTACCCGACTTTGCTACAAAAAAGCGGAACTTCTGAATTTGCCAAATCAGAGTAATATACTCTTCAGATTGTCTTATCTCTCCTTTTCTATTATTATTATTATTATTATTATTATTATTATTATTATTATTATTATATTGGTGGGTGCGGTAAAGGTACAGGGTCTGTCATGCTATTCAGTAGAACCAGGTGTGTAGATTGGACTGGTCCTTCACCTATGTCAACCCTCATTTGGCTATGCTGAATTGATATCATCTTTTTGAGTTTTTATGGGTGTTTCGTTCCGTAATATGCGAGCTATCTACGGCAGGAACGAATTTTTACTAACTGCTATCCAGTCTTTTGCTTTTATTTTCTATTTATCTCTAGGTGATTATTTGCTTTCGATAATCTTCTATTTAAAGCCGTCTACTAGCTTCGCATTTATCGTCTATATAAAATAAAGTTCTTACGCATCTCCCTCTCTTCCGGACGTGAGTCAAGATCAAATAGAAATCTCAGAAAGAAGCAGATGATTAAGACAGACCTTTACACCATTACATCTTAAAAAGTGAAATTTTACCCATGAAATCTCCTAGATCATATTTTCCCAAGAGCGTCAAAAAACCACTTCCACCCCATCGCCCCCCCCCACACACACACACACACCTCCCTCCCGGCAACGAGCCTGGACACTTATAATGTCAGGCGAGGAGGCTGAAGTGTTTATAAAATGTTCACGTATTAAATAAATTGGTATTTCTCGTTCTGGACCACCAAATGGCGTTACTGATAGGCACAGATAAGCATCGGTAGATGTGCTTTATGTTTTGTGGCCACATGCCTGGTCTGATATAGTTTGGTACAGGTAAAAAACAAAGAGAAATTGGTAAATTACTGGCATTAAACTTAGGCCACTAGTTACAAAAAATAAACTGACAGACTCGAATATCACCGCCCTGTTAGAATCATCAGACTTAAAAGATTGCCAATCATTATAATGGCCAGATTAAATATAATACCAGGCTTGTTCTATAACTCTTATGCCTGACAACACGTCATATCTAGGCACAGCTAGTTTTTTTTTTTTTTTTTTTTTTTTTTTTTTTTTTTTTGATGTCTTCCAAGCTATCGGCCAAAAAGGCGATGTATGCAAAAAAAAAAAAAAAAACGTCGAATTTTCAACATTGGAAATTGGATGGATGGACACAAAAATTTTAGCATGAAATCATAGCACGCGTAGACTTGCCATACTGATGCACGATGATCCCGACTTTAATGAGGTACATGTGTATGAAATGCGTTTGCCTTATTTATTTACATCGATCCAGAAAATAAAAACAAAGAGAAGGAAATATTGTTACTGTTTTTATTGGTGACATACAAACAGATGATAATGATCACGAATTGTCTTTTTAACAATAAACAAAAAAGAAGAAAAAATAACTGACGATTACGATATTTTTACTAATGTACCTAAACAGTGGCATAAATAATTGGTCTGTTTCTCGAAATAAAACAGTTGAATTTTATCTGTAAATGAAATGACATGATATAAGCTTTTACATGTTTATACTTATTAAATGGAGTTTTCTTCAAACATAACCCATGCATATCAACAATTAGCGACAATCTGAGTTTTACCCTGATATACCATATAAGCTGGCATATGTATAAACAAGCTATGCAGTCATAGTTTAAAGTGTCACAGTTAAGTGCAGATCTGCTCACAGTTGTTAACGATGACGCAATCCTTGACGTCATTGTACTCCCACTTGAGGCAAGCAGGATCAGACACCTGTCCTTTACGGCCCACACCACCACGGTTGCCAAAGAACCACCCATAATCCACGCAGACGCGGTCGGTACGAACAGTGCATCCCTCCTTCACCTTGCAGGCAGACTGGTCGAAGCAACCGACGTTCTTGGGCTTTTTTGGGACAGGGCCGACTGGAGCCACTGGACCAACGGGTTTTGGTTTTGGGCCTGGACCTACTGGACCTGGACCGTAAGGGTCTGAAATTGGGACCACGCCGAGACCACCTCCTCTACGGCCGCCACCGACTGAAGCGACACCTACGTCTCCGCCAGCCTCGTTGTCATTGGCGTTAAGTGCTGTGTTGAGGCTGTTAAGTTTCTTGTCGGCGAAATTCTGGAACTGGTCAAAGAGACCGCGTCTCTGGCGTGGTTTTGGGCCGTTGGATGTCTCTGGAATTTTGATTAATAAACGTCGGTATTATTTGACAAGTAATTAAAGATATTCTGGTTTATCCAGCTGAAGATATGAGCAAGTTTTAAATATGTAAAGCAAGATGTGTTTAAAAGCTGTAGTATATCGTAAATATATATCGTTCAACGAAAATACACTGAATGTAGATTAACAAAGTTCTTTTAATTTTTCAAGAAAGCCTACTGTACAGCCAAGCCAATTCTATTTACAACTACGCATAGGCTGATGAAAAGCTATGATGACATGAAATGATTGTTCATGGAAAAGAGTGCTGTATTACGATCTTGTATGAAGGCATTCTAATTATTTACCTGCAATTTTTTCTTTCGTGGTGAGAACCAGAAGTTGGAGTTTAAGTCCTGAGCAGAAATCCAAGATGGCGTCGGACAAAGTGCTCTCGTCCACTGTAACATGAACGGCCTGGAAGTAGCCTTCTTTTACCCCGGAGATCTTACCGCCATTTGCCTTAAAATAGAATAAAGGTGTGTAAACTACCATAGAATAAATCCACGGCAAACTGCATTATTATTATTATTGTTATTATGATTGATATGTTTACATACTATGGAGACATCCCGTAAAATCCATTGTAATCGATGAAAAGCAACTCCTTGTTAATTATATTTTAGGATAGAATACTTTAATTGATTTTTTCGATCGAATACTAATTCTATTTATATCTGAAAAATGTTACCTCAGAATTCTGGAATCTTTTTTCATCATTTGCCAGGTCTTGTGTTTTCATTTTCTCAGGCATGTCCCGGATGTAGCAGGACTTGTCGTCTGAGAAACGAAGAGCAGTCTTTTTCTGGAAATCAAAACAGTTTGATCGTTATTGTCGAAACAAAAAACTAAAAAAGTATTTTTGTTTTTGTTGTTATTTAAGTTGTTATTGAACTATACATCACTAAATGAACATGAATTAACTGCTTAATGCCGGCTGATGACAAATGATGATTTGAGGATCTTCAAATGAACAGAACAATTAACTTACGACATTGTAATCATGGAGGACAAAAGTCTCAGATTGTCCGTCGCTGGGAAGAGAGTGGAGAGCCTCCAGTTTGTCAGTGGTGCTGATCTCTACTTGCTGGTTAAACTCGGTATTTCTGTCTTTGTAGGTGACATGATAAGCCTTAAAGTAAGTGAAGGAAGAGAAAAACACATCATGAAAGTTGGCGTTGAGCTGTTGACTATTAGAAAGATCAAGAAATATATCGACTTCTATATTAGTTTTGCATTTTAATCTTATCGATATTGTATCTGAGAGTAATGTTAATGTCAAAAATGACCTGAAGTTGAATAAAAACACATGGCGACAAAGGTATAAATAACTCATGATCATATAAGCTGCATATGATATATTTACTGATCATATGACTATATGTATCCAACACGGATTCTACTTTATAAACTTCAAAAATATTGATAACCCATTAAAATCACAAATTCCTCGTTCTCTAGGTGATAATGCCTTTTCACGCCAGATATTCTTTTCTTTTCGTAATTACTTTCATTGAAACCATATGATATTTTAAACAGAAAGAAACCCTACTCAAACCTTCACCATCGTGTTTATCTTTTCCCTGCGATTAATTCTTCCGTAAATTTCCCCTACCTTCATAAGGTCAACAGTGGCTCTCTGCGTGAAGTGTACGGCCAGCAGTGTGCCTGTCACCGCTAACGCAATCACTGTCACAACCGACACAGCGGCGATCACGTACTTCTTGTTGCTTGGGTTGTTGTGTGACGTCATGGCGGCTTCTGGCTGGACGGTGTCTTTCTCCTGTGTAAGGATGGACTGTGGTAACATTACCTGCAAAATGACACGTGATTGAACATGGCGTCAAATTCAAAAGCACACTTCAGTAACGCGATATAATAAAGAAAATCAAGTGGGCAATGGTCTTTTTTAAGTTGAACAATGTGTTTAAAAAACGGGCTTACATTTTGTACATGCATAATCTCTTCGAAAAAGAAACACCCACATATAAATACACATTGTTTTAGATTCAGTTCTATACAACATTACATAAGACTCCAGTCATAAAACCGATTATGGAAAAACAGTCTTTTAAGAATATTAAAACGATACGTGTACATGTACAGTAAGTTTGTTAGGCCTAAGTATGTTTTGACTCCGTGAGGGATATAATATCCAAGCTTAAAAAATGAAAAACTAAAACAAAATTCAGTTAAAATAAAAATATAATCCTTCACTTACTTTGCAAACCTTATTATCCTAAGGAGCGGCAGCAGTAGCGTCAACTTAAGCCCAGTTAGTGGAGGGACTCGACTGCTGTTACAGACCAGGACTCCGCCTTATATACCCTTTCAAACTGAAACACGCGGAAATACCCACAAAGCTCACGAGGAAGTACCCCAAACAGTGCCCCATGTCTTTAAAATAACAGAAAAAACAATTTGGAATGTTAATTTCTCTCGACCTGATCATATATTCCAGTTTTAGATGACTAACGCGTGCCCATTGTCTTTGCGCATGCGCACGTTCTCGTGCAGTCCGCCATCAAGTATTTGTTGCTTTTTGTTTCCCCAATCAGCGGGTGGTATTGATGTGTTTTTCGTGGGTGGTAACTGACAGGGTCAATGAGGAGTTGTTTAAGGCGTTAGTGTAGGACAAATCATTTTCATCTTTGATTTCTATTATTAAAATTAATAGATATACATGTTTACTTATACTTTTACATTATAAAGATGGGTAGCGTACATGGCGGAGAGGAAGGTGCTGAAAGAAACTGTATATTATTCACTATTGATATGAAAAAATAAAACTGTTAGAGGAAATAGAATAGACAGTAAAGTGACAGAGAGAGATGCCTAAAGAAACATGCAGCAAGTGATTTACAAATGATATATATATATGTAAAACCCATGAGTCACACATAGACGTCTAGGGTCGAGTAAGAGAGATTGAAGGGGTGGGGTTAAAGAGAGAGGGTGTGAAATCAAGAAGGCGTATTGACGTGGTACTGGGGCACGTGGCGGTGCCTTAGGTTTGCCACTTGATTGCAAGTACATAGATATCTAGAACCTCCAGAAATAAAAAAGTAAATTAAAAATGGTCCTTCACACCTCAATCAACTCTTTTCTATCGCAGCATATTCTACAGACCATTGTAAATGTTTTCGTCAGGCAAGAGTTGATTATTTCCTCGACTTAACCAGTTCTATTGGAATAATTTTTCACTTTGCGGTTTGTCGGTAACTAAGCTTTGTACTTCTGTAACAATGATTATTCTATAAAACAACAGCAAATTTGCGTGTATAGAGAGATGATGATCGAAATATTCAGGAAACTTTTTTTAATGTGCATACTAAAGAGAGACAACTTAATGAGCCTTACATAAGTTCTTCAAAAGAAATCCATTGAAGCTGTTATAATTACATCCAACATCCAAGTTTTGAGACGGTTTTAGAAACAGAATTTGGACGCAGCCTGTCTTGTTTCACAGCGCCCCGATGTCTTCTGTTCAATGCTGATCTTCAAAAATTCTTAGATGCAGCAGAGCTTTAAAGTAAGTGCAACAATTTTTTTCGTTTGTTAAGAGCATAACAACTATTGGATTTTTGGTCATCGTTTCATTCTTATTTATCTATTCATTTATTTATATTTTTATTTATTTTTTGGTGTATTTATGTGTTTGTCCATTGATCTGCAATTTGTTATAACAGGTATAGTGGTGGGAAAACGGCTTCACTCCATTTCATGTGGTTTAACTTTTCTACTTCAGACGCTATAAAGCATTACCTGCTAGATATTTGAAAAATCTCATTCTTACGGTTTATAACGTTTCTCGTGCACCATTTATACTTCTAAAAGAAGAAAAAAGACATATTATGAAATATTTTACATGGTTTCATGATTCTGGTGCTGTGATACTTCATTCAAAGTAACTCAACCGCATGCGGATATTTTGTGACACATCTGAAAGGAAAATGTGAAAAAATGAATACAAATGAAGAAAACACATTACGAACATAGGTGCAGTGACAAGGGTGGAATTTTTCTCAATATTGTCTGATAAAACAAGATTAGAATAAATGTTGAAATATTTCCACGCCCATGTTGTATCTTCCTCAACATGAAGCTGAGTGGAATGTATAACTGAAATAAATTTAATTTGTGGTTATAAGAAATGTCCTGAACAACAAAATACCATCCCTTAATGTTTTATCTTCCCATCTACAAACTTCAGCGTGTGCGTATATCCCTATCTACAGTACCTGACACATGTCAGACTGGCTTAAAATTCAGTGTAAATGTTTCCGAGGCTACGTAAAGATTGAAACACTGTACATGTCTAAGAGAAAATGGAAATCATCGCCCTACTAGTAGATAACCAAAAGTCTTTCATTTAGTGTAAAATCTAGCTGGATTTGGCGTCAAGAGAGTGGGTGGGGAATAATAGCAGGCTAGCAAGTGTTGTCAGTGTAAACGAATAGAAGCTGACAATATTTTTTTGGGGGGAGGGGGGTGTTTGTTTTTGTTTTTGTTTTTTTTTTCTCTCTCTCTCTCTCTCTCAAGGCAAGAAAATGGCGCCTACCGGTATATCAAGACATGAAATTGTGTCATTACCCAAACATCAGACAATTTTTTAAGATGGCTTCACCATAACACGGCATTTATTTGATATGTTCGCCTCTACAAAGTGTTTATTACGCATTACTTTGACATACGTACCAGGGGCGGATGCAGGATTTTTTGAAGGGGGTGTCCACGGATGCGAAATCGTCCCTCCCCCCTCCACCCCCCACCCCCCACCCCCCTTGGCGTGAGGTCCGGGAACGGAAAATTGGTATTTTAGAAGGCGAACGGTGCCACTTGGTACGGTTTAGAACCATGATTCAGCTAGTCAAAATTCTAATTTCAAGAGGGGCCAATGGTGTGATTTTTTCAGCAATCGAAGGGGTTCAGGACTCCCCTGACACCCCCTAAATCCGCCACTGTTTACCGTGCCACTTTATAATTACCGGGTTCTTACAGGAAATTCGTCCGGGGGAGGGGGAGGGACTACTCCCTTTCACTGGTCCCAAGGCACCCAAAAGTCAGCCATTAATTTTGGGTGACAATCATACGTAATAGCCAAACATTTCTAGTTAGATGATGCTGCTATTTTCATTTTGTTTCACGTTGAGTTTACGTTTGACTTCACCTGTTAAGTTATAGAGCACGATGAGAGGCAAAGCTGTTCACAAATTGTTAGTTGTGAGTAGTCTTTGTCATTTCAAACGTCAACTGTGGAGTTGCCCCGGGTACTGTATGAATATATGTACAGTCTTGATAAGCAAGGCCAAAGGAGGGGGGTGGGGGCATAAAAAACAAAATGTATGATTAGGCAGAGCAATAGCGGCAATGTTACTTTTGAAAAAGATTTTCTTGCTGATAGTCCCAACGAGCAGATAGCTTTTTTTTCGTGAAAGGGCTGTATGACGCCATGCTGGGTAAGGTATTGACTCAATTCTATTTTGATCTGTTACGTAGTTGGTAAAGGATAGAGATCAATGACCATCCCCACCTCAGTATCATTTTAAAGACTTTACAGCAAAGAGAAAATAAATATAATTGACGACACAGCCTTTATGATAATGTCGAGCAATAATTTGTCGTCAAAATAGATCACTAATTCTAAACCATACCGGATTTTTATGCAAAAGGTAATTTGCTGGGACACACGAATGCCTGCATTCGTTTTCGATTGCGTGGCCAGCTCGTGGTTGTGGTGAACTGACATGTGTTATCTGGAATTTGAACTCGTGACTTGCCGTTTCCATGGTTTGCTGATGACTAGGTATTTTTTTTACAGCCAAGCACGCTACCGACTGCTTCGTGACTGACCCGCCCAACCTCCGTACTTACGAGTTTCCTCTTATAGTAATCAAACGCAAATTTCAGATAATTATTTCGAGCAAAAAACATAATAAGAACATTGTTGGATTCGAACCCTTGTCTACCTGTGTCTTGCTATATAGAAGACGGCGGAGTTACCACGGAGCCACAGAGCCTTCGTTGGTGTGGTACGGGTCAAATGGGAACTTTTTACTTTCTCACAGAGAGGGTCAGTTGGACTGCACATGTATTTATCTGCCATAACAATCAACAGGCCGTGAGCCATACAAATGTATTTCAAATGTATCTGCAAAGATGGTATTATCATCAATGATGTTAAAGTTCATCATGTACACGAGCACTTATCTGAGAAGCCGACACAGAGCGTTCCTAGATAGATTACTTTTTTACTATGACTATTAGTGTGATATTTTCAGAAATCGAAGGGGGGGGGGGTCAGGACCCACCTGACCCGCCCCCCCTTCTAAATCCGACAGATACCTATCGACATCTGCATATAAAAATTGTGTCCTTTGGGACTGTTTTTGTAGACAGGAGTGTGGAGATTCAATGCTTTCGTTCTTTCAACCAAATCATTCCCGTGTGATTGCGACAGATGTGACATTGTCAACAAACCCAAGATGCTGTGTGTATCAGGTGACCAACTATCACAATGAACATCCTGCTATAACAAAAGCATTATATAGTTGAAATTAAACAACTTTGAAAACATTCGTGGCAATAAAACATCATTAACGTGGCATGTTTTGACCGAATTTTTAACCCGTTACCATAAATATCCTGGAAAGTAACTCTTGGCGCATTAATTCCACTGCCGTGCGACTTTCTTAGCCAGGCAGAGAGTTGTGACACGGCAACACTGACCTAAAGCGTTCTTACCTAATGAAGCAGTCACTGGATTGCTACGGCCCAAATTATACATGTATTTTCGTTCTATTCCGACACACACCTTATCATGACTACGTACACTATCACTTAATCAAAACTTAACAAGAGAGGATGGGTAACTCAACTAGTAATTACAATGAAGCGTCAGCTTGATTTAGAAATTAAACAGTTTGGTTGAAAATGGATCAAAACGCGTCTTAAGTTCATGAGAGATGAGAGTGTTCGCATATGTCTCAGCGCTCGCGTTGATATCACCAGAGATCAGAGTGCGAATATTATTGTTTACTTAGAATGATAATCGTAGAACAGAGGAGTGTTTTAGAGAAAAAGGGAAGGCATTAGTAAACGTCGTGGTGTCCGTGTAAAATGATTTCATTGTGACAGAAGCGGCCTCCTTATCTTCACCTATCTTCTCTTCGGTTTGCGGACTATTTGTCAACTCTGTGGTCACCCTACACAACGAGGTCCTCGGAGGACCACGAGGACCGTGGAGCTGGCATTTCGTGCTATGAGAACACAATTTAATGGTATAACAAA